GAACCATCTTCCACTGCTTTCCCAGGCCATAGCAGAGAGCTGGATCAGAAGTGGAGCAGCCAGGACTAGAACCAGTGCCCATATGGGATGCCAGTGCTTCACGCGGAGGCCCAGCCCACTACACCACAGTGCCGGCCCCATAGAGAATGTTAATCAGAGATGAGTAGTATGGGAATGCCACTTCAAATTACACCTTTAACAGGTTTCCCAGGGCCATGTCACAGAATAATATGGCTTGCATTTTGGGAAGTCCTTCTGCTTTTATTCAGCCAGGATCTGAATCCATTTTCAGAGCCTGATTGCAACATACATTCATTGACTTTGTCTTCTTGTCACTGTAACATTCAGTCAGTGCCAAAGACATTAAGAAATTGACTTCTACTTGAAGTGAGCGATTAGATAGGTGATTGGTTTCCTCCTTTTTCCTAATATGGGATATTTTTTTTTTAAAAAAAGATTTACTTCATTTATTTAAAAGGATTACAGAGAGAGGTACATAGAGAGAGAGAGGTCTTCCATCCATTGGCTCACTCCCCAAATGGCCACAACAGCTGGAGTTGAGCAAATCCGAAGCCAGGAATGAGGAGCTTCTTCTGGGTCTCCCATGTGGGTGCAGGGATCCAAGGTCTTGGGCCATCCTCTGCTGCCTTCCCAAGCCATAGCAGAGAGCTGGATTGAAGATCTCTTCATTTCTTTCTCTGTAACTCTTTCAAATAAATAAATAAAATGTAAAAAATAACATAAAGTTGATCACACAGGTAATTCCAATATAATATGATGAATGCTAAGAGGCATATGTTGGGGCTGGTGCCGTGGCTCACTTGGTTAATCCTCTGCCTGCAGCACCAGCATCCCATATGGGCGCCGGGTTCCAGTCCCGGTTGCTCCTCTTCCAGTCCAGCTCTCTGCTGTGGCCCGGAAAGGCAGTGAAGGATGGCCCAAGTGCTTGGGCCCCTGCACCCGCATGGGAGACCAGGAGGAAGCACCTGGTTCCTGGCTTTGGATTGGCGCAATGCCGGCCGGAAAGAAGATCTTTCTGTCTCTCTCACTGTCTAACTCTGTCAAATTAAAAAAAAAAAAAAAAGGGCATATGAGAGGTGCCACAATATGTTCTTCAAGGATAGTGATGCTTCACAGTGGGTTCCCTGCAGTATTGCAGGACACAGGGAATATCCAGCCCCTGCTGCAGGTGCATGTGTGTTAAGTGGGTTATCTGTAGTGAGGTGGGAGCCAATTACTTTTTCAAACGTGGTAAAATTCTGCTTAGTAGGCCTTGCACTCAGCAAGTACCTTTGTTTGTGGAAAGCTAAGCAGGGCCAAGTAGGGATCAGGAATGGGTATTTGGCTGTGACTTTTAAGCTTTCAAAGAGAGGAGTAGCATAGCTGTTTGGCCCAGTGTCTGAAGCTGTCACTTGAGATGCCCAGACTCTTTACAGTGCTTAGAATGCCTGGTTGGGTCCAGGCTACTCTGTCTTCTTCTTTTTTTTTTTTTTTTTTTTAAGATCTATTTATTTGTAAGTCAGAGCTATAGAGAGGAAAAGACCTTCCAATCACTGGTTCACTCTCCAGATGGCTGCAATAGCCAAGGGTGGGCTAGACTGAAGCCAGGAGCTTCTTCTGGATCTCCAACACTTGGACCACCTTCCGCTGCTTTTCCCAGGTCATCAGCAGGGAGCCAGATTGGAAGTGGAGCAGCCAGGACATGAATTGATGCCCATTTAGGATGCCAGGGTTGGCTTTACCCACTATGCCACTACATTGGCTTTTTTTTTTTTTCTTTAAGGCTAATCTACTTCTGATGCAGCTTCTTGCTAATACACATCCTGGGAGCCATTTGGTGATGGTTCAAGTACCTGAGTCCTTGGTTCCTGATTTGGCCTGACCCAGTGCTGGTTATTGTTGGCATCTAGGGAGTAGATGGAAACTCTCTTTCTCTATGTTTCAAATAAAATAAATAAAAATTAAAAAGAGGAGAATTTGGAGACACAAAATTTCATGATTGCATTGAAATTATAAAGGCAATCAAGGAGCTGGCCCAGTGACATAGCGGGTAAAGCTGCTGCCTGCAGTGCCAGCATCCCATTATGGGCACCAGTTCAAGTTTTGGCTGCTCCACTTCTAATCCAGCTCTCTGCTATGGCCTGGGAAAGCAGTAGAGGATGGCTCAAGTCCGTGGGTCCCTGCACCCGCATGGGAGGCCTGGAGGAACCTCCTGGCTCCTGGCTTTGGATCAGCGTAGCAGCCAATTTGGGAGTGAACCAGCGGATGAAAGACCTCTCTCTCCCTTTCTCTCTCCGCCTCTTCTTCTCTTTCTGTGTAACTCTTTCAAATAAATAAATAAATCTTTAAACAAACAAACAAAAAAGGAATATAGGATATATATTGAGCCCTGGAAAATGTCCAATAATCTTTATGTCTGACAATCTGCAGTGCAGCAGCTAGAAACCAAAGGAATTTGGTTCAACACAAACACCAATGAGGCAGCTCTGTAAGGTCTTATACGTCTTTTTTTTTTTTTTTTTTTTTTTTTTTTTTTTTTTTTTTGACAGGCAGAGTGGACAGTGAGAGAGAGAGAGAGAGAGAAAGGTCTTCCTTTTCCGTTGCTTCACCCACAAATGGCCGCTGTGGCCGGTGCACCGCGCTGATCCGAAGACAGGAGCCAGGTGCTTCCTCCTGGTCTCCCATGCGGGTGCAGGAACCAAGCACCTGGGCCATCCTCCACTGCTCTCCCGGGCCATAGCAGAGAGCTGGACTGGAAGAGGGGCAACCGGGACAGAATCCGGCGCCCCGACCAGGACTAGAACCCAGTGTGCCGGTGCCGCAGGCGGAGGATTAGCCTAGTGAGCCACGGTGCCGGCCAGGTCTCATACTTCTTAAACTTCTGATTTTGCTCTTACCTTGCCCCAGCACCACTGACACGTGAGCACAATCATCGGTGTTTTAGATCATTTTTTAAAAAATGTTATTTAAGGTTATACAGAGTGCTTTAGATCTTATGATAGGTGCTGGTCCAAGCTGATTGTTTACTATCTCCCCAGAATGTTTAATTCCTCTGCAAAAAACTCAACCCCTTGATTCTGTTTTCAAAATGAACATGAAGGAAAAAAGAATAAACAAACAGATAAACTCTAAAATAATAACATGAACTTTTATTTTTATACTAATTAAGACCCTTTGTCTTGAAAACTATAAACTCAAATTAAGTATACTTAAAAAAAGATTTATTTATCTGAAAGGCAGAGAGAGAGAGAGAGAGAGAGAGAGAGACAGACAGACAGAGTGAAAGAAGTCTTCCATCCACTGGTTCACTCCCCAAATGGTCGCAATGGCTGCGCTGCTCCAGGTTGAAGACAGAAGCCAGGAATTCCCGTTTGTGCCTCCCACATGGTTGGCAGGGGTCCAAGCACTTGGACCATCTTAGCTGCTTTCTCAGGTGCATTAACAGGAAGCTGGATTGGAAGCAGAGCAGCTGGGACTCATACTAGCACTCTGATATGGGATTATGGGATGCTAGCACTACAGGCAGTGGGTTGACCAACTGGGCCACCATGCCAGCCCCAAGCAGATTCTTTTGGTGGGATATTTGGATTAAACCTCTGTGGGGGGGCCGGCGCCATGATTCACTTGGTTAATCCTCTGCCTGCGGCGCCGGCATCCCATATGGGCGCCGGGTTCTAGTCCCGGTTGCTCCTCTTCCAGTCCAGTTCTCTGCTGTGGCCCAGGAGGGCAGTGGAGGATGGCCCAAGTGCTTGGGCCCCTGCACCCAGGAGACCAGGAAGAAGCACCTGGCTCCTGGCTTCAGATTGGTGCAGTGCCGACCGTAGTGGCCATTTGGGGAGTGAACCAACGGAAGGAGGACCTTTCTCTCTGTTTCTCTCACTGTCTGTAACTCTACCTGTCAAATAAATAAAAATAATAATAAAAAAAACTCTCTGTGGGCAGTTTTTTTAAACTTTTTTTAAAAATTGAGAAAGGCTAAGAAAAAGAAAGCCTTCATCTTTCTAGTTTACTCCTCAAATGCCCACTATGTTCCCTAGCCAAGACCAAAGCTGGGAGCAGAGAACTCAATCCAGGTCTCCTATGTGAATGGCAGGAATCCAACTATTTGGGCCATTACCACTGCCTTCCAGGATATGTATTAGCAAGAAACTGAGGTTAGTAGCCAGAGCCAGGTATTGAACCTAGGTACTATGATTTGGGATCTGACCACTAGGCCAGACATTCCCCTAGGAACCCTATTTAGATTTTTCTTATTCCTCCCAATAAGCTTATCACAACGCCGAGCTTAAAATTAAGCACTCAAATATTTGATGTAACATATAACAAGCCTAACATACTAGACATACTTGAGATAAAGTAAAAATCAAAATTTATCTCCTTATTTTCCTAGATTTCTGCTAAAATGCCCTTATAAGCTCTTACTAATACTTTAACTTCCTATTTGGATTAGGTCTTTAACGTTTGTTCCATAAACAAAACAATATATTGCAACTGAAAAAGTGAAAATGGTATTAAATATGATAAAAGAGTTAAAAATAAATAATTTGACAATTCATCAACACAAGGTTTTTTTTTTAAAGATTTATTTATTTATTTGAAAGGTGGAGTTACAGAGAGGCAGGGGGGTGGGGGGAGAGAGAGAGACAGAGAGAGAGAGAGAGAGAGAGAGAGAGAGAAGTCTTCCATCCACTGGTTCATTTCCAAAATGGCCACAATGGCAGGAGCTGGGCTGATCCAAAGCCAGGAGCCAGAAGCTTCTTCCAGGTCTCCCATGTGGGTACAGGGCACAGACACTTGGGCCACATTCTGCTTTCCCAGGCCATAGCAGAGAGCTGGATAGGAAGTGGAGCAGCTGGGACTCGAACTGGAGCCCTATATGGGATGCCAGCACTGGAGGCAGCAGCTTTACCTGCCCACAGCACCAGCCCCAAGGGTTCTTTTTTGTTTTTGTTTTTTAACAAGAAATGCAAGTCAATATTTTATTTAATTTATTTAAATAAATAAATCTTTAACTTTAACATCTTTAACTGACAGTCAATACTTTTTTTTACCAAATCATGAATTTTTTTGGAATTAAATTTTTTCTTAATTAAGTTTGCAGATAACAGAGAAAAGTAACAAACTGGACAACTTATATAGTCACAGGCTTATGTGGAATTATGGTTACTTTCAACAATTACTGGAGTGACCTTTCAAATATCTTCACACTAATCTGTGTGAATAGACTGGGAATAGCTACAAACATGGAATTCTCAAAACAGCATGTAATGTAATGCTTCAAAGTAACTTATTTCCTCTAAAACTTCACTAGGTAATTCTAAAAATTCAACAAAATGTTAAATGCTCCGAGTGGCCATCCTATGAATTAGGTAGTCTTCTTTGATTTTCTCTTCTCTGCTTCTTCCTTTTCCTTTTCTATTTCGGTTACTTGTAATTCAATTTCTTTGGCATTAAACATCTGAAAAGATAAAAAATTTTAAAAAACCAATTTCAATATATACATTTTCTCTTTTAAATTTAGATATTCAGTATTTGTACATTTCTATTTTTCTTTATAATTTTATAACTTTCAATATGTAATAAAATGTTTCAAAAGGTTTGAAAGCAACAGTTTGTAGCAATTATGGACCAAACTAGATCTCTGATATTTCCGCCATCATGTGCCAATAAAGTAAGGCAGCAGCCGGAACTGTGGTGCAGCAGGTTAAGCTGCCAGCTGCTATGCCAGCATTTATATGGGCACTGGTTTGAGTTCCTACTGTTCCACTTCTGATCTAGCTCCAGACTCCTAGCTTTGGCCTGCCTGGTGCAGTCATTGAGGAAATAAAATCAGGAGATGGAAGCTTGCTCTCTCACTCACTGACTCTCCCTCTCTGTAAATTTGCCTTTCAAATAAACACACTTTTTTTTTTTCCTTTTTAAGTATTTATTTCAAAAGCAGAGTGACAGGGAAACAAGGTTTCATCTGCTGGGTCACTCCCCAAACGGCCACAACAGCCAGGGCTGGGCCGGGCCAGAGCAAGGGGCTTCCTCGATAAATACACTTTTTTAAGAAGGCAAAAATGTGGGGCCGGCACTGCGGCATAGCAGGTAAAGCCGCTGCCTGCAGTGCCAGCATCCCATATGGACATTGGTTCGAATCCTGGCTCCTCCACTTTCGATCTGGCTCTCTTCTATGGCCTAGGAAAGCAGTAGAAGATGGAAGTCGTGTGGGAGACCTGGAAGAAGCTCCTGGCTCCTGACTTAGGATCGGTGCCAACTCTGGCTGTTGTGGCTATCTGGGGAGTGAACTATCGGATGGAAGACCTCTACCTCTGCCTCTCTGTAACTCTGCCTTTCAAATAAATAAATAAATAAAGCTTTCTCTTTAAAAATAGGCAAAAATGCGATACTATGTGTAAATATGTGTATATCTATCTCCCATATATTCAAATTACTCTCAACATGTTTTAGTTCAAGGCTTATTTCTTTTTTTTTTTTTTTAATTTTTTTGACAGGCAGAGTGGACAGTGAGAGAGAAAGAGAGAAAGGTCTTCCTTTGCCATTGGTTCACCCTCCAATGGCCGCCGCGGCTGGCGTGCTGCGGCCGGTGAAACAGCGCTGATCCAATGGCAGGAGCCAGGTACTTATCCTGATCTCCCATGGGGTGCAGGGCCCAAGTACTTGGGCGATCCTCCACTGCACTCCCTGGCCACAGCAGAGAGCTGGCCTGGAAGAGGGGCAACCGGGACAGAATCCGGCACCCCAACCGGGACTAGAACCCGGTGTGCCGGCGCCGCTAGGTGGAGGATTAGCCTAGTGAGCCGCGGTGCCGGCCTCAAGGCTTATTTCTATTCATGAACAAATAGCATTATTGAATTCTCCCTATTCCACTGTGTAATTCTGACAGGGTTTAACTATTTTATCACCTCATAAAGTAGTCAGAAAATAATGTGTATTTGAATATATATGTATTTGAGTTCTAACTCCATTTCCAATTCCAGCTTCTTGCTAATGAACACTTTTTTAAATAAATTTTTTTAAGTTATACAAGTTTCACGTACATATATGTTTATGAATATAGTAGTATTTCCCACCCTACTGTCCTTCCTGCCAGTGTTCCAACCCTTCTTCTTCCTCCCTCTCCCATTCCCACTCTTAATTTTTACAAAGATCTATTTTCAGTTTACTAAATGATTTTACATTTAACTATATACTAAGTAAAAAAGTTTAACAAATAGTGTGAAGAAAAAGCACTGTACCTCAATGGAGGAGTTGAGGGCTATAAACAATCATCAAATCTCAAAATGTCCATTTCACTCCAATACATTACATTTTAGGTATTCTATTAGTTACCTTGGATCTGGGAAAACATATGATATCTGCTTTTTGAGACTGGCTTATTTCACTAAGTATAATGGTTTCTAGTTGCATCCACCTTGTTGCAAAAGACAGGATTTTATTTTATTTTTTTTTACGGCTGAGTAGTATTCCATAGTGTATCTATACCATAATTTCTTTTTCTTTTTTCTTTTTTTTTTTGACAGGCAGAGTTAGACAGTGAGAGAGAGAGAGACAGAGAAAAAGGTCTTCCTACTGTTAGTTCACCCCCCAAATGGCCGCTATGGCCAGTGCGCTGCACTGATCTGAAGCCAGGAGCCAGGTGCTCCCTCTTGGTCTCCCATGCGGGTGCAGGGCCCAAGCACTTGGGCCATCCTCCACTGCACTCCCGGGCCACAGCAGAGAGCTAGACTGGAAAAGGAGCAACCAGGACAGAACTGGCACCCTAACCGGGACTAAAACCCGGAGTACCATCGCCACAGGCAGAGGATTAGCCTAGTGAGCCACGGCACCGGCCCTATATCGTAATTTCTTTATCCAGTGAAATTGACAGACATCTGGGTTGATTCTATATCTTTTTTTTTCTTTTATGTAAATTTTTGACAGGCAGAGTGGACAGTGAGAGAGAGAGACAGAGAGAAAGGTCTTCCTTTGCCGTTGGTTCACCCTCCAATGGCCACCGCTGCAGCCGGCGCACTGCGCTGATCCAATGGCAGGAGCCAGGATCCAGGTGCTTTTCCTGGTCTCCCATGGGGTGCAGGGCCCAAGCACCTGGGCCATCCTCCACTGCACTCCCTGGCCATAGCAGAGAGCTGGCCTGGAAGAGGGGCAACCAGGACAGAATCCGGCGCCCCGACCGGGACTAGAACCCGGTGTGCCGGCGCCGCAAGGTGGAGGATTAGCCTATTGAGCCGCAGCGCCGGCCTTGATTCTATATCTTAAGTATTGTGAATTGTGCTGCAATGAATATGGGGTTACAGATTGACTCTTTCATTTGCTGATTTCTTCTGGTTTGAGTAAATTCCCAGAAGTAGGATGGCTGGATCAAATGGTAGGTCTATATTTAGATTTCTGAGGTATTTCCATACTGTCTTCCATAGTGGTTGCACCAGTTTACCTTCCCACCAACAGTGGATTAGGGTACTTTTTCCCTACATCCTGGCCAACATTTGTTGTCTGTTGGTTTCTATATGAGAGCCATTCTGATTGGAGGGAGGTGAAGCCTCACTTGCATTTCCCTGATGGCTAGTGATCTTGAGAATTTTCTATATGCCTGTTGACCATTTGAATTCCTTCTCTTGAAAAATGCCTGTTCAAGTAATTTTCCCATTTCTTTTTTTTTAAAAAATACAGAGAAAGATAGAGACAGAGAAAGAGAGAGGTTTTATATCTGCTGACTTATTCCCCAAATGGCCCCAACAGCTAGAGCTGGGCCAATCCGAAGCTCAGAGCCAGGAGCTTCTTCCTGGTCTCCAACGTGGGTACAGGGGCCAAAGGACTTCGGCCACCGTCAAATGCTTTCCCAAGCGCATTAGCAGAGAGCTGGACTGGAATTGGAGCAGCCAGGACTCAAACTGGCTCCCATATAGAATGCCAGCACTACAGGTCGGGGCTTTAACTCATTGTGCCACAGTGCCAGCCACTCTTTACCTATTTCCCTAACTTGACTGTTTTATTGTTGTTGAATTTCCTGAGCTCTTTATAGATTCTGGATGTTAATCCTTCATCAGCCACATAGTTTGAAAATATTTTTTTGTCGGTTGCCTCTTTACTGAGTGATTCTTTTGCAGTGCAGAAGCTTCTCAGCTTTATGTAATCCCATTTGTCAATTTTGGCTTTGATTGTCTGTACTTCTGGAGTCTTTTCCAAGAAGTCTTTGCTTTTGCCAATGTCTTGCAGAGTTTCCCTGATGTTCTCTAGTAATTTTATGGTATAAGGTTGTAGATTTAGGTCTTTGATCCAGAGAGTTCATGGTTGTACTATTAAGCAAGATCTTCTGGAACTGAAATCCAGTTCTATGCAATTCTAAACTCTGTGCTCCAAAGTATGTGTGCTCTACTCACTACACTGTCTATGCTGAAGTAACATGTGGAATGGCAGTCTAACTTTGCTACCAGTACACAAACCATTCCACTATTTGTAAGTAAATATATTTATAATTTTGTGTGTGTATGTATATCCATGAGTGGATATATGTGTGTGATGGGGCTGAATAGGAACCTTTGTATTCAGTAGTTTCTGTACATCTGTAGTGATGGTGTATCTGGGCTCAATGATAATTGGTTTAAGTACCTGTCTCTACTCTGTGTGTGGTGCTGTGCAGAGACAGACTCCACTGTATGTTCCCTTTCCTTGTATTTATTGAAACTTTGCTGCTGCTCTACCTTCCTATCCTATCTGTTGGTTATATAATCAAAGATAGGAAAATGGTGCCAAAACAACGATGAAAAAACCCAACCAAATTCCCCATTGGTCCATCCAGCACTGATTTTAACAGTATTTCTCTTTGATACACTTTCCTTAAAGCCAATGAAAAATGTACATAAAATAATCCTTTAAGTGTTTTTTAAATATAGTTCCCATATTTTGAGTGCTTTTATATACTTTCAGCTAAGGAGAACTAGTTGGCAAGTTGCACCGTACAGTTCTACCTAATGGACACTAGTAAACCGCATTTCCAATGCTCTTTGGTTGATAAGTCTTCTTTCATAATATTCAGCACAATTTATTTTAGTTCAGGAGTTTTAATTCATAAACACTGACAAAAGGCAGATGAGTAGTAATGCTAGACTTGCCATAAAGAAATAGGAAACAGTTTTCATGCTAGGTAATAAAATTTAAGTTTTAAAGAAGCTCAAGTCACTTTCAAGTAAAAAGTAGAGAAAAAAGATTAAAAACCAGTAGGCCAATCAGAAATGGGTGGATGTTCTTTGATATAATGAATAATAATATGCCAGAAGTCTAAAGGGCCAACAGTTATATAAGAAAGGCAGTTGAACAACTGATTTTAGAAGATCTAAAATGATAGAGTAACTGCTTTCTATGTGGTGCCAGAAATGAATTTCCATGGGAAAGATGCCATATTGACCTCATACGAGACTGATTCAGGAAGTATCTGACTCACAGGAACATATACTAAATGGGTAGGCCTATACAGAGATCTCAGCAATTGCAAGTTATCACAATGGGAGAGACAAACTTGTGACAAACATAGAAATTAGTGAATATTAGACTAAAGAAAGAAAAACAGAAATCACCATGGTGTCAATGGATGCTAATGGATGTCCCATCATTATAATGCAGATTTACAGGGATCAATAATATTTTAAATTTCATCAAAATACTTTAAACTACAGATATTTTTCCCTCTTTCATAAATGACTTACCTTCAAAGGTTGATTTCTTCTTATTATGGCAAGTTCAATATTTTTTCCACCAGACTGGACAACCTAATTTAGAACAAAGACAATATTAGAATTATGTCAGCAAATTTTGTATTTAATAAATATCAATGGATGAGAAAAGGAACGTACACTTTTCTGAATATATTCTATTAGATCACTTACTTCTAGCAAAGCTCTTATTGCCAATTTAATAGCTTCATTGTCGTTTGCTATAGCATCTTCTGTGTAATTTTTTTCTAGAAATTCTCGAACAGTTTTAGCACTTCGGCCTATTGCATTTGCCTTAAAAAATAAAAAGATAATTACTAATATTGTAATATGGATAAATTAATGGTTGCTAAGTAAATGTTAGGGGTTTGGAGTTTATTCCAGCATTACTTAATCAAATTATAAAATGAAAATTTTAGATGTGAAAATTAGCAAACATTTCAGTAGCTCATTTGGTTACTTCATTAGAAATCTATATTTTAAAATATACTAATGCTTTATCTTGGCCAATGTTTTCTGTTAGTTTAATGTCTCCTATGCTCCCAGTAACCAGAGAAGATCTAAAGGGTTGATACTACAAAAGTTGTGGAGAAGAAAAAAACTTTAATTTTACAAATGGCACAAAAAGAAAGAGGAAAAAAGAGATGTCAACGAGAAGAGGAAAGGTGTTAACATGAATGACACTGGACATGTTTTAGAATAAAGTATAGTAGTCACCTGATTGCTGATTCATTATTTCTTTTGACTTCATATGCCAGATGGGCTTTAATTCCATTCCCCATTATTTTTATTCTTTAGAAATTTTCCTCAGATGAAGAAAAGAATCAATGAATTTCCCCAGCTGCATGGCAATAGTTACTAGACCACATGTAAGCTTAATTAAACCTAAATATCCAGATGAGTACTAATGATGATAATAATTTATATTAAAAGAGCACTTTTATGCCAAACACTATGCTAAGCATTTTACATGGGTTACCTTATTTAAGTATGATGGAAATGATTAAATAGAGACTATTACTAACTCAATTTTCAGATGAAAAAATAAGAAACTTAGAAAGGTTAAAATGGGGTTTCTCCATCTCAGTACTGTTAGCACTTTGGGTCCGATAATGTGGGCTGTCCTGTGCTCTGTGTGACGCTTGGAAGCCCTTTCCCATTAGACATTAGTAGCGACATCTACCCCACCCCAGTTGTGACAACAAACGTTTCCAGACGTTGCCAAACATCCCGAACGGAGGACAAAACCATTGTTTGTGTGAACTATTGGCTCAAGTAATCTTGCCCCAGAATACATGGGAGCAAGGAGAAGAGCTGAGCTTTGAAATATGAGCTCTATAAAAATGCTGCCACATGCCACATGCTATGATCATCTGGAACATGAGAAGAACCAGCAGAAAGGCCTAGCTTTAACTGTCATTCAATGGGTGAATGTGTCATGTGTAATTCTTTAGTTTATTTTTTACTTTTACCACATACTTACTGACTGTTCTTTTTTTTTTTAAAGATCTTATTTATTATTCATTTAAGAGGTAGAGCTACAGACAGTGAGAGAGAGAGAGAGACATAAGGTCTTCCATCTGCTGGTTCACTCCCTAAATGGCCCAAATGGCTGGAGCAAGGCTGATCTGAAGCCAGGAGCCCCTCAGGGTCTCCCATATGGGTGGAGGGGCCCAAGCATTTGGGCTATCCTCCTGCCCTACAAGGCCACAGCAGAGAACAGAGAGCAGCAGCTAGGACTAGAAGCTGCACCCATCTGGGATGCTAGTACCACAGGCAGAGGATTAACCCACTGAGCCACAGAGCTAGCCTCGTTCCTTAGCATTATGATTACAGAAAAGGGATCTCAAAGGAGATTTTAGGAAAAGAACATGAAAACACATCTTTTGTACTACATGAGAGTATACTGCTCTGGTTAACAGAATATTCTTTTTACTTTATATAAACTAATTGTATGTCATTATATTTCAGAGGATAAAAACAAATAGCTGTGAAACATTCAAATGAAATTTTTATGGCCTTAAAATTTCCCTAAGATCAAAGATTGTATGACCTTGAGTGTTTGCTACTAGTATTTTTGGTAACTGGTTGCTGCCCAGAGAGGAAGTCACGATAGTTTATTCAAAAGTCTCACTTTACAGGGCCCTTAGGGTATACCTGTAAATTCCTGGGTTTTTTTAGCCCACTTCTTGTAATTGCTGATGTCAAAGTTCTCTAAGTATCTGAATAGTTTCCTAAAAATCATGTCTATTCTCGCCATTCATATCCCTACCCTCACCCACCCCAACACTTTCTCCAGCCCACTTCAACAAAGTGTGACGATTTTGCAATGTTTTTCCTAATTGCTTACCAAGGTTAATGACAATTTTCTGTGGCAAAGACTATTAGCTGTCAACCCCAACATAGATTCTTCCTTTGGATACAACTCCAGGCAATGTGACTACTAAAAAAGTGTCATTTCCTAGCCTCTGTTACAAATTAGGTACATATACATAGGTACATTTCATAAAAAAAAAAATGGAACTAAAAGGTTTATTTTGGTGCAAAAAATTCTGAAATCCATGCAGAGTTTTGTCTTAATACTCATTTTCTATGAGCTGCCTGAAGACCCTATCATACAAGCAGTCAGTCATTGGGCAGAGCTTCTAGGAATGTTTGCTGCCAAGGAAACAGATATGTTGGCTGAAGGTCTATCTCCAACTTGGAAAACATAAAAGCCTATTCCTGCAGTTGCTGGATTGAAGGCAGGTAGCCAGCAGTTCTCAACCCTCTTTAGGGAGCTCCTTGGTTAGCAAGAGCCACCTCATATAAAGTCATGTGCTCTTTCATGGGAAGAGGAGCGATTAATGTCCAGTTCCTCAACCCAACTTGTAAGAACTCTGAAGAGCCAGTACAGACCTGGCACTTCCCATGGGCTCCACTGAGGCGTCGATTGAGACTGCACTGCAGCCTAATCTGTCCCTCTGCCCAGTGCTGAACACTTCCCTTCAACAAACGCTGATCCCAACAGCACTTCCTATTACATTTCCTAGGAACAATAATCTCTGTCTCAGAGTTGGTTTTTTATGAAACTTAACTTACAATTATCTTTCAAAGTCTAAAGACTACTTCTTTATCATGCCCTTTAAAGTCTGTATTGATCATGCCCCTTATAAGATACATTAAGAAAATCAAGGTAAGATTCCCTGGTTTCCTGGCTGACTTCCCTTGTGGCTAGGTGAACCCGGGATGCCATGTATTAGGCAGCCTTTCTCATCTGAAGGCTGTGAACTTTCAGAGTAAGTAAGTAAAGGCTTGCTTATACTCATAAGAGAGAGATGTGGTAATGAATAATAAATTCTACTCATAATAAATTAAATAAATCACTGTTTCCATTATCTCTGAAATATTAATAGAAAGCAAAACTGTCCAAGATTTTCCAGGAAAAACAAACTAGATGGTTATGAATAGTCTTTAAAGTCTTTTCAGCCCTGAGCTTCTATGTCTTTATGGTGGCATTTTTCCAAAGCGGAATCCACAGAATATCAAGATGAGAGAGGACCTATGATAAAAGAGTTCTAAAATTCAAGTAATCTTGGGGACTACCATTTTGCCTACTTCTAGAAGATTTCCAGTGCTTTTCAGACCATAACAAAATATTTTGGAAACAAAATTTATTAAATTTCTTTAGATAAACATCTCCCAAAATTACTTAAGTGCTTACCTTACACCTATTAACGTCAAAACAAATACACTTTGAGGAACACTGCTCTGAAATACACAATCTATCATCTGTTCCCACTTTGAAGCTTTGTGATCCATACTAACAAAAGCAAAACATGCCTCCAAGGTGACTCACATGGTTAAGTTACAATGGTCTTTTTTTTTTTTTTTTTAAAGATTGATTTTATTTATTTGAAAGCCAGAGTTACAGAAAGAGGTAGAGACAGAGAGAGTTTTCCATTTGCTGGTTCACTCCCCAAATGGCTGAAATGTCCAGGGCTGGGCCAGGCCGAAGTCAGGAGCCAGGAGCTTCTTCTGGGTTTCCCATGTGGGTGCAGGGGCCCAAGTATGTGGATCATCTTCCACTGCTTTCCCAAGTGCATTGGCAGAGTTGGATCAGAAGTCAAGCAGCCAGGATTCAAACCGGTGCCCATATGGTATGCCAGCATTGCAGGCTGTGGCTATGCCACAATGCTGGCCCATAGTTCATCTTAATTCCTGCATATGGGTCTCCTGAACATGGTACAGCTAAGCTTTTTAATTAAGCAACTACTTCACACAATTCATGCACAGCTGGTTAGATGCTAGTTTTCCTCTATTTTTTTTTTTTTTTAAGATTTATGTATTTATTTGAAAGGCAGAGTTACACAGAGAGGGAAAGACAGAGACAGAGAGAGAGAGGTCTTCCATCCACTGACTCACTCCCCAAATGGCTGCAACAGCCAGAATGGGCCAATCTGAAACCAGGAGCCAGGAGTTTCTTCTGGGTATCCCATATGGGTACAGGGGCCCAAGTACCTGGGCCATCTTCTACTGCTTTCCTAAGTACATTAGCAGGGAGCTGGATTGGAAGAGGAGCAGCTGGAATTCGAACCAGCTCCAATATGGAATGCCAGCACTGCAGGCAGATGTTTAACCTACTATGCCCTTCGCTGGCCCTCATCAGTGTTCTTTAGAAACTAATTTTCTTTATGTAAACTTTAAAAATAATAGATTTTCAAGGAATATGTAGTAAACAAAACAGAAGTTTTGAATATAAAATTTGAGTTTGAATGGCCAGGTTTGCATCCCTACAAATTTAAAAGCTACCTGTAAATGAAAGAAAGCAGATATTTAGAAGAGTGTACAATTTCTTAGGTACATCTTAAGTACCTATATTTGGATTTCAAAAGTACTATGTGAAAAAAATAAGATTATTTATTTATTTGAAAGGCAGAGCAAAAGGGAAAGAGACAAAGGAAGAAACAGAAACAGAGATCTTCCATTTCTTGATTCACTTTACAAATGGCCTAAACAAGCCAGGCCTGGGTCAGGCTGAAGCCAGGAACAGGAATTCATTCTGGTTTCCCACATGGATGGCAGGGGCCCAAGTAGTTGGACCATTTTCCTCTGTTTTCCCAGGCACATTGGTAAGGAGCTGGATAAGAAGAAGAGTAGCCAGGATTTAAGTTGGCATCCCAATATGGAATGCTGGCATCATAACTGGCAGTTTAATCTGCTGCACTCCAATGCTGGCCCCCTAAGTGAAAAATTTTTGATTCTTGCAACTAAATGTCTACGGAATTATCATTTTGAAAAATCAATGAAGTACC